TTATTGTGGCACTGTTCACAATAGCAAAGACTTGGAACCAATCCAAATGCCCATCAATGATAGACTGGATAAAGAAAATGTGGCACATACACATGACAGAATACTATGCAGCCATAAAAAAGGATGAATTCATGTCTTTTGCAGGGACAATGGATGAAACTGGAAACCATCATTCTCAGCAAACTGACACAAGAACAGAAAACCAAACACCACATATTCTCACTCATAAGTGGGTGTTGAACAATGAGAGCACACGGACACAGGGAGGGGAACGTCACACACCAGGACCTGGGGGGTGGGGGGCTAAGGAGGAATAGCAGGGGGTGACAGGATTGGGGAGGGATAGCATTAGGAGAATTACCTAATGTAAATGACAGAGTGATGGATGCAGCAAACCACCATCATGGCACATGTACACCTATGTAACAAACCTATATGATCTCAACATATACCCTAGAACTTAAAGTATAATAAACAAATTTTTTTAAAAGATTATGAAAATTGTTCAATACCTGATCCTACGTTACTAAGATTACTTTGAAATGTGCATAACATTTTTTTCTGTTCCCAGTTGAAATCAATTTGTAATTATTAAGAGTAGCAGAAGAGCTATTTCATCTACTCCTAAAATAAAGGTTGTGACCAACCCAGTGGCTTGTGTTTTGACTGGTTTTCAAAGTATTAGAGCTGATTGTATTTCAAAACAGAAACTGGGAAGGTAACAAGTAGAAATGTTTAAACATTTTCATTAAAAATATTTTTTATATTAAAATTACTTATTTTCTTTGTAAATTAATTTACCCATTTCAGAATACCTTTTGAAGTATAAATAAAAGTACTTTGAAGTACAAAGGTCACATTTTCTAGACTCTATGTTAACAGCAAGAGACATGAGAGGTTGACAAATGTAGGTACCGGGTAAGTCCTCTGCATAACAGATCAAAAACTGTGATGGTGCATCACCTGATTACGAAGAATACTGCATTCACAGCTGTTTATGATCCGGTTCCAAACTAACTCTCTAAATTGCCCATAACTATATCCTTTTATGATGTTTCTATCATTCAGTAGGTTAACTACTATAGATGAAGGCATAAGTGACATCAATTAAATTGTCATAATACAGTGATTTAAACAGCTATTAATCTCCTCTCTTCACTTTATTCATGTAATGCATCATGAGAGTTGTCAGAATCAACATGGAGACACTTGTGTTAAAAAACCCTGAAAAATAGAGCTAGGGAAGGCCATGAAGGGAGAGTATATTACAAATGCCTGATAACGAGAACTATCACAAAAGACTATACAAAATCACAACCTTGCATAAAGGCCATTGCCACTCTACACAAAAAAAGTACTTCTGGAAGGACATCTGCCTAGCAACTGCCTGTCCAACCTCAGACTGGTGCCATTCTTGTCACTGATTCTGTAGCCAAGGATAACTATCTAAAGACAATTACATAATCCTCCTTATTTTTCCTTCAAAAACCTTTGTCTTCTATCTCCTTGAATATGCATATAGTTTACTACAGCACACATCTTCCCATTGTAATGCCTGCATGGTGTGGAGCAGGAGCAGCAGGATGGGTGGCAAGGAAGGGGATTCTCCAGAGAGGAAGGGTAGAAAGTCCTGGACTGTTTGGGAATGGATGGGAACCGTGTGAGGGTGGAATAAAACCGGAAAAGCTGATGCAGTGAGGCAGACTGTGAAGGGATCGATAGCCATACTTATATGAGTTTGGACTCTATTTTGTTTTGCAAAGTCTGGTGTGTACACCACCGGTGCAAGACTGCTTTGCAATGCTTTTAAAAATGCAGAGTCCCAGGTTCACCCCAGACCTGCAGAATGAAAAGAGGTCCAGTAAATTTGCATTTCAAATGAGCTCCATTTCTACAATCTGGAAGAGAATGCTACTGTGAATGATAAAGTCCCACAAAAGTCATTATAAAGGGAAGAGACTTGATAAGAGATACATTTTTGGACAGTTCTGAGGTTGGCCTCTTGAGTAGTTGTTCTGGTTAGACAACTACTTAGTCTGCCTTACTGCATCAACTTTTCCAGTTTTATTCCACCCTCACAAGGTTCCCATCCATTCCCAAACAGTCCAAGACTTTCTCCCCTCCTCCCTGGAGAATTCCCTTCCTTGCCACCCCTCCTGCTGCTCCTGTTTCCCAAATAAACATTTTATTTCAGAGAGTCCCCCTCTCTGTTTGCTATCTAGGTTGACAGCACATACCCGTTTACATGCTCCCATTTGTTGCCTGTGTGTATGTGTGGCTTATTCCCAGTCAAGAGATCTTGATAATGAAAGGACTTGTAGCACTGGCACCTCCTCTTTAACTGGGTTCTTCCTTACGAAAGTCTTATCTTTCCAGGTCTTCTTCAATTAGCTGACCTCATCTAGGTGGCCATCATCCTCTTTTCTCTTCCCAAAGAATTTATAAGCTCATCATGCTTGCCTTCCATCTTTTTATTTATTTTATTTTTTAATTGAGACAGAGTCTCGCTCTGTTACCCAGGCTGGAGTGCAATGGCACAATCTCGGCTTACTGCAACTTCCGCCTCCTGGGTTCAAGCAATTCTCCTGCCTCAGCCTCCCAAGTAGTTGGGATTACAGGTACCCACCACCACACCCAGCTAGTTTTTTTTTTTTTTTTTAGTAGAAATATGGTTTCGCCATATTGGCCAGGCTGGTCTTGAACTCCTGACCTCAGGTGATCCGCCTACTTCGGCCTCCCAAAGTGGGATTACAGGCGTAAGCCACGACACCTGGCCTTTTATTTTATTTTTAAGAGATGAAGTCTCGCTTTGTTGCCCAGGCTGGTCTAGAACTCCTGGCCTCAAGCAATCCTCCTGCCTCAGCCTCCCAAAATGCCAGAATTATAGGCATGAGCTACCTCTCCATGGCTATCTTCTTTTTTAAAACAAACAGATTTAGAACAAATCCCAAGACTAACATCTTGGACCTCTGGTAAATGTGTCTCCAAAAACTACTAATTCTCAGTAATCTTCACTAAGACCTGATTAAGCTTCAAGATTCTCTTGAGCCTTTCAGCCCTATTTCGGCAGGCATACAACATCCACCCCTAGAGACAACCATTCCTACAATGTCTCTTATTAGTCTATACTCTTGTTTCTTTCCCTTTATACCTATTTCCACTTCTTTCCAAGACTGGATATTCACTTATTTAAGTAGATGCTGTCCTATTACTTCTTCCTTCCAAATATCTCCTGAATTCCAAGCCCTCGTCTCCTACATCATTCTCTGGTTCAGGTCTTTAACACATCCTCCAAAACTGGAGCCCCAACCCTGTTTTGTGCCATGAACCTTTGGCAGCCTGATGAAGCCCATGCATCAGATAAACACAGGATTACAAAGAAGATAGATTACATGGAAACATGGTTATTAAAATGTTTTAAAATTATGATATAATAATATGTACTTCTTTAACACATTAAATAACAAAATCTAGCAGTGGTTCTAATAAATACCTTAATTGTGAGGTAATGATGAGTGTATATAATATATTTACAACCTCCATAATGTAATATGAAAAGAACTATAATTTGTGGGCAAAGTCACAGGCCCGTGAGCACCACTGTGGTTTGTTACCAAATGCATACATTTCAATTGGTGGTTAGTGAAAATACATACGTAATTTTAAAAATCCACAGATTCTTCTCCCCCAATCCTCTGCCCTAAATCATGGACACTTAATTGGCCTCTCTGCCTCTGTTCTAACCAGGACACCTACTTAAGAGGCCAACCTCAGAACTTTCCAAAAATGCATCTCTTATCAAGTCTTTTCCCTCTAATGACTTGTGTGGGTCTTTATCATTCACAGTAGCATTCTCTTCCAGATTGTAGAAATGGAGCTCATTTGAAATGCAAATTTACTGGACCTCTTTTCATTCTGCAGGTCTGGGGTGAGCCTGGGACTCTGCATTTTTAAAAGCATTGCAAAGCAGTCTTGCACCGGTGGTGTACACACCAGACTTTGCAAAACAAAATAGAGTCCAAACTCATATAAGTATGGCTATCGATCCCTTCACAGTCTGCCTCACTGCATCAGCTTTTCCGGTTTTATTCCACCCTCACACGGTTCCCATCCATTCCCAAACAGTCCAGGACTTTCTACCCTTCCTCTCTGGAGAATCCCCTTCCTTACCACCCATCCTGCAGCTCCTTCTCCACACCCTGCAGGCATCTCTCTGCTTGCTTCAATCTGACTCATCATTCAAGGCCAATATTACCTTTCTCTCCAAAGCCTGAAGCCTCCCTGACTTACTCACTCAGGCTGAAACAATCTTGTTTTCCCTGACACTTTCCAATCACACTATGTGTAGTTAATTATGTCAGGCCTTTGCAAAGGCAGAGGGCTTCAGAGCTTCCTGAAAGATTGCTGCGAATTCATTTAGCATTCACCACCATACAAAAGAAGGTGTTGAGCAGCAATTAGATACTAGGTAAACTAGTCACTAGGGGGAATAAGGCAATGTCCTTACTTTCAAAGAGTTTGTGTTCCCTGTTCATCTTCCTCACTCTGTCTATATCTACTCCAGCCTTTTCTTTACTGGACCTCTTTTGGTCCTGAGTAATCTATTTCAGCCCACATTAATATTTTATTCTTTGACCTCCACCCCTAGACGGAAAATCAGAATCATGCTGTTTTGGCATTCATTCATTCGTGGATATATTGAGCTCCTACTATGTGCTAGACAATATGATAGCCACTGGGTATATATAACATGGGAACAAGACAGTACATTCCCTCAAAGTTCTTAGAGTGTCGTTAACCGCTCTCTCATTGCTACTTTTGTCTCTCTCCCTCGCTAGGCTGGAAGCTTTCTGAAAGCAAGGAAAGACTTGTACTTTTTGTAGTCTTCACTGCCACTAGCCCAGCACGTCGCTGACACAGCAAGTGTTCAAATACCCTTGAAAGACTGAGTAAAAATACTTGGTTTCCACGCCCCCTTTCCGATTCAGAGATTCCCTTACCTGATACTGCTGAACCGAAAGAAAAGGAGCCTCTTTGCAGTGCCCTCGGGAAAAGCTCCTTTGAAAGCTGGAGGTGGGAGTTTCACTCTCCTCTCTCAGAAAAGCAAATCCCAAGGGCACAACTGCAGCTCCTCTGCCGACTGTTGCTAGGACGCATCCGTCGCTGAGAAAAAAAAGGCGATTCCTCTGCAAGATTGACAAAGCACCTCTACCAATACAATGTCCGCTCCCTAACAGTCTCTTTGAAAGAGACTTGTGATTGGTTGTCACGTTGTGACGTCACTTAACGCGACCCTGGTGAGACCAACAGTTTTCCACTACAAGAAAAGGGTTTTCTGGCTTAGGTATATTGATGACAGTGGCCCGGCCTGACCCCAGGTCTGACAGGCTCAGTCCATGCTTCACATCCACCGCAATCTCACGCAGAGAATTTTTTTGGGGTGTGGACCTAAGAACCAGGACAGAAGATGGTAAGGCTGCCCGCTCAGAATCCTTTCAGGCAGCTTTCCTGCCTACCCCCTGCAGTGAGCTGGGCCCTCGTGGGATTGGAGAGGAAGCTGCGCTCCACTGGGTGTCCTGCGCGCCCCAGAACCCTAATGGGTTACATTTCCCTCTTGCCAGAATAACTTTCGTTTAGAATTTGACTCAAGGTATGAGTCTCTGGGGAAGAAACTTGAATCTGTGAGTAACCCAAGGTTCATTTTATGTGATTAGGAGTCCTATGGGATTCACACGGTGAAGCTAAACTCTCTGAACACTGTTCTCCTCCTTTCCTTTAAAAAATAACTGCCTAATTTGTAAACAGGCAGAATTTAATAATGTAATTGACTGCTGTAATTGGTTTAAATTACTTTTTACACCCAATTTAAATAAAATCTTTAATTGAGAAGAGGCTGGTCATTTATAACATATGAGAGTTTAGGGGCTGGGCGCGGTTGCTCACGCCTGTAATCCCAGCGTTTTGGAAGGCCGAGGCTGGTGGATAGAGAGCATCAGGTCAGAGCACGAGGTCAGGAGATAGAGAGCATCCTGGCCAACACGGTGAAAACCCGTCTCTACTAAAAATACAAAAAATTTGCCGGACATGGTGGCGTGTGCCTGTAGTCCCAGCTACTCTGGAGGCTGAGCCAGGAGAATCACTTGAACCTCGTAGGCAGAGGTGCAGTGAGCCAAGACGGCGCCACTAGACTCCAGTGTGGGCAATAGAGTGAGACTCTGTCTCAAAAAAGAATACTAATATTTATTATTATAACTGCCTAATTTATAAACTGGCAGAATTTAATAAAATTATGCAATTGCTGTAATTAGTCTAAATTAATTTTTACATCCAATATAAATAAATTGAGAAGATCATTTATAACATATAAGACTTTAAGAATCCTAAATGAAGAATTTTTACATGATGTATAGAAAGATCATGGAGATTCTTTCAAATTTCTGAAGAATTTGTTCACAAATTTCAAATAAATTTTACTATGCAAATTATGAAGGGAAAGAAAACTAAAAAAAAAGGTATCATGTAAACATTCTGACAACCTTTTTCCAGGCTTGTCTACTACCAGACACTGGAAGATTCGTTTTCCCCTGGGCTCAGTCTTGAGTCCTTTTCTCACTCTTCACACTCTCTGGTGTCATCAGCATCATATATTCCCCTTAGCTTCAGTCATTACCTCTAAACACACCAGACTTCCATTTCTACATTCTCAGTCTAAGGTAATGCTTACATTCCAGGTGTGAATTTCCTCTAGCTACTGGACATTTCCACTACCTGTCTAGTTCAGTTCATGTTGTTTAATAGATGCTAAATAAAGGTTAAATGGAGTAAATGAATGAATTACCATAGCACCACAACTTAGCAGAGCTAAAGTCGACTCATTATCTTTCAGAAACCTTTTTTTATTCTTTATTTCCTACCCTAGGTAATAGTATCATTGTCTATCAGTTGCGAAACTAGAAATCTGAAAGTCAAATCCTTGACTCCTTTTCTGCCCATAGTCAACATGTCACTAAGTCCTGTCATTTTTCTTTCTTAACTGTCTCTCAGTCCCTTTTCTCTTAGCCATTCTCTGCCTCTGCTTTATTTCAGATACCTTATCTCTCACCTAGACAGTAGCAATAGTGTTTTGACTTGTTCTCTCTCTTTCCTTTATTTGCCAAATTGCCACAGAATTTTCCAAATCACAGATTGAATCCTGATATCACTCCTTAAATATGCTCGATCTGGCACATGAAACCCTGAATAAACAGGATTCTGAAAGACACTGGAAATAAATCTGGAAGGTAATTAGTTATTTTTCTACCTCATTTCCTGCCTCTGTTCCCAGCCTAACCTATATTTTTGTCCACTGCTTCTTAACTGAAGACCCTTAAGTGACAAGGAGCAAAGGAGCATGAAATCACAGAGGCTGGGAATAATAGGTTGATGGAAAGGTTTATAACATGAAAATGACTTCTGTAATGGAGATATATTTGTTTCATATAAAGAATGTATGAAGTTTTTGCATTTGGCTCTGTAATGGTTTCGTGTTTGTTTCATTTAAAAAAAAAGTTTAAAGCCACTATTAACTAAAATTGGCAGAAAATTGAATAAACACGAAGAAACCTTAGGCAACTGTGACATGCTCATCCTGTGGTTTTGCATAGTCCCTGACATACTGCTGTGCAGATCTAGGAGTTTGTGGGTCTCAGGTTGAGAGCCAGAGCTCTGGTTACACAGCTCCTGACTAGTCCCCTGTGCTGTGCTGGGTTACAAGTGTGTGTCTGCTCATCCCACTGCCTCCACTTCTGCCTCTACCTCCATCAGTAATGCCTTTCTTCATCCTCATTACTTGGTAAAAGACTATTTTTCAAGACCCAACTCAAATGTCACCTTCTCTGTATAGCCATACAGGCACTCAGTAGAATTAGACACTTTTTCCTCTGTTTTTCCATTATAGCAAGTATTACATTGTGTTGCAATAGCTTGTTTACATAGATGTCTCCCCTTCTAGACTTTAAGGCAGGGATGGTGTCTCATTACTCTATATCTCCTTTGTAACCTTTATATCACGTTGTGATATCGTGTCAAACACAAGTTTGTTGTTGTTGCTTAGGGGATCTCACTATGTTGCTCAGGCTGGTCTTGAACTCCTAGGCTCAAGTGTCTACCTTTTTTGGCATCCCAAAGTGCTGGGATTACAGGCGTGAGCCACCACGGCTGGCTGGACATAGGTATTTAAAATATATGTTTAATTATTTAATTGTTCTTGGAGGCAAATCTAAAACAAGCTCTCTAACAGAAGCTTCTTCCTATTTTTTCAAAGAATTTGCTTTCCTTAAAAAAATTATAATTCTTCACAATCAGATTTAAGGAAGTAAGAATTATAACCTTGTAACGTGGATGAGACACAAATCCTTCTGTAATCTTTTCTTTAGAGACATGCCAAGGGGATATCCATTTGATGGAATGTGTCATAAGTCATAATACCAAGAAAGTTAAAAGTTAAATTGGAAATGTTTAGAAATTTCTTCATGTTATAAATTCATGATTGATTGACCATCTGCTCTTTCATGGGAGTGGTCAGAAATGAAATATCTTCATGGTAGCTAATGAATATGTGCCTGCTCTTCCAGGGGAGGTTGAATTGAATTTCTCTGAAATTTGAATATATGTAAAAACTAGTTTTAGTTTTATTTATTGAGTGAAAATCTAAAGAGTCAAGAAGTCATAATTAAAAATATTTCTCGGATATCTTTAAGAACATCTTGATAAGTTTCAGATTGGGTTTACAAATGGATAATCTCATAAATTGATGAGGTAGATTTTTACTACTTATTATTTTGGTGAATGACTTGCTCACCCTTTTTTTTTTTTTTTTTTTTTTTTCTGAGACGGAGTTTTGCTCTTGTTACCCAGGCTGGAATGCAATGGCGTGATCTCGGCTCACCGCAACCTCCATCTCCTGGGTTCAAGCAATTCTCCTGCCTCAGCCTCCTGAGTAGCTGGGACTACAGGCACACGCCACCATGCCCAGCTAATTTTTGTATTTTTAGTAGAGACAGGGTTTCACCATGTTGACCAGGATGGTCTCCATCTCTTGACCTCGTGATCCACCCACCTCGGCCTCCCAAAGTGCTGGGATTATAGGCGTGAGCTACCGTGCCCGGCTTGCTCACCCTTTTTATGAAATTTTTTTAAGAGTTAGCTTAGAAACTAGGGGTGGAGGATCCTATTTTATGCCTGGAATGGAGAAGTATTCTTGTATGAGCCCTAAACTGCTGGGATTACTACACATTTTTCAAGCGCCTGGGGAAACTACCACAACCTATTGCATGAGGAAGTGAGAAGCATCTAAAGAGTACTCTGCTTCAGAAAGGAGTAAAGAGATGGAAAAACCTGATCCTGGGGCAAATATTTAGCTGTTTGAAGAAAGGGACAATTGTGGCAATTCTAGAAAAAGATGGACTAGAACATCAATGAGAAATTAGAATCTATACAACATTAAATTAGAAAGGCATTATTACTACTGCACAGAATGGCTTGAGTCTACTGGGGACTAAGGAGGACACAGGCCCCAAGTGGCTCCAGAATTGCTGGCCCTTCCCACAAGAGAAGGTAGGACCGTAGCACTCATCTGCAGTCTGCAGGCAGCAGATATCTCCAGAAGGGCCAAAGCAAGAGCCATGGAGGTAAAAATGGGGCCATGGGGCAGCAGAGTGGACTTATTTGTGAGTATGGCTGAGACTTCACTCCCTACACCCAGAATAGTTGGTGGGGGAGTCATTGTATGGTAGTGATAGTCCTATAATATCATCAAGCATTAAGAGCCAGTAAATATCAGTTCTACATGTATAATTTTTACTGTCTTTAGAGCATTTAGAATATTTTTTAAAGTGAAGTCACTCAAATAATATTGTGTTTAAAGTAAGGAAATTATGTTGAAACCTAAATTTCTTACTTTCTGGATAGGTGGCATTAGACAAGTTATTAAACTCTCTAAATCTCATCTGAAAAATTTGGGATGATAAAGCTTTCATTAGAGTCAGGCCAGATAAAGGGCAAGAGCAACCACATTGAGCAACTAAGGATGAGGGCAACCAATGCTCTTCTAAGGAGCATTCTTCAAAAGATACCAAACTTCTGTGTTGTGAATCGCAAATAGATTGTC